TTTTTTTGCTTGTCAAGGATTTTTTGGTAGTCGATAGTGCCCCCTCAACTGAAAATGTATGGCTGTGCCCCCCAAACTGAAATTGCTTCCTACGGGCCTGCAAAAGGAACATGAAAGTGGATTTTGATTCTTTTATGTGTGTTCTGTTATTCTGCATTTCGATTATTTGTATTTTGTCTCCATTTAAATAGAAGTGTGTGTGTGTGTGTGTGTGTGGGGGGGGGGGGGGGTTACTGATAATCAAGTTATACATGTACTTTAATGAGGACCAATAAAAAAAAATTCCACTCGACTGTGACCGTTGATCGATCTTTTACTGATCGATATCAATGCAAGTGTCTGCCGCTTCATGCTGCATTGCTTTGAAGACGACACGCGGAGATTTTCATAGCCGACGTGGATAAATCATACACACATACTATATCCTTACTTTTATAAATTTTAGTTTTAGGGAATTATGCCCGTTAGAGTGTACTAGAGCATTCTGAATCCCTTCTGAATTTGAATCCCCTCCCGAGAATTCATGTGCATTTCCTGTCGAATTCACTACGCAGATTTAAACTTGTAATTTTCGAGTTTGTTAATAAAATAATAAGTATGTACATGCAAAGTATCGTGTTTGTCTCTAAAAAAAATATTAAATTATTAGTATTGGCCAAAGAAAATATTTTGTTCGTCGAGAAATGGATCTAAACAAATCGCATACCCCTTTTTTAAAAGGCTTCGGAGATTAACGGTTTTAATTTGAAGCAAAAAATTTGAAGTCTGTAACGCGCGTTATGATAGGCCGTTTCAAGTTTTTTTCTTTTTCTATGTTCAGCGTTTATGCGGTGGATTGGTTTTTGAGATTATGAAATTAAAAACAAACGCAAATTAAAACGGACAAATAATACAAAGCTTTGAAACGCAAACACAAGTTAACTCAAATTAAAATCAACAAATACGAATCTCCGAGATGCATTTTACTCTTTTGGGATTGACATCTCCCTTTTTTAAGTGGTATATTAATTTTTTATTTCAATAAAGTAGAAGTTTAAAACTTAGTTTTATTGCGAGGAGAGGTCCCAAATGATAATAAGAAATTCTAGAATTGTTTTCAAAATGTTGTGTTTTTCCCCTTTTGGCTTGTGTGTTTTCTCGGATAGGAACAGTGACGTAGCAGCGTTTTTGAAGGGGGGGGGGGAGGGGGGGTGCAGCCCAGAGAAAAAAATTCAACTTTCGTGGAAAAAAACTTGACAAGCAAAAGAAAAATAATAATAATAAAAAAAAAAATTCCGTTTTCCGGGTTGGGGGTTGGTATTAGGTTTCAAACTTCTTTCAGAAACCAAATCTTATTCTTACACTACTATGTTACCCTTTTTGACTTTACTCTAATAAAAGGGGGGGGGCTGGCCTATCTATGAACATTTTCAATAGTAAAAGTTTATGGTTGGAAAAAAGTAGTGGGGGCCATCACCCCCCCCCCTCCCCCCGTTGCTACGTGCCTTAGGAAGACAGGTTTTCGAATTTAGGGTGGACGCTAAACAAAGGAAAAACTTGGAATCGCCCCATCAATCAGGAATCCGCAGGTAACATCTGATAACCGGTCTCCCCTTGTGGTTTTACATAGAAAGTGAATGAGTGCAACTATTTTGGGGATTATTCTTGGTTAGTGCATTTGACATGAACCATGCAGTAAAGCGGATCCACTAGAATCAAATTTGGAGACAGGGCCGCCTTGTTATACGTAACGTACCCAGGTTTTTGACAAAAATCGGCCAAGGTGTTCTTGAGATATAGCCCAAATCCTAAAAAGTTTACACACACCGTACAAATGGCAATAGCATTAGCACTTTGAGCCTCTGTGCTCAACACTAAGAAGCAGAGGGGATTATTTAATATAATTAATGCATTTTCACTATATTATAGAACCCCACCCTTACATCAGAACATCTTACCCAGGAAGCATGAAACTCACAAATGTGATCAAAAATGTTTATGCTCATTCATTCCCCCAATAAATTTTCAAAAACTGGCCAGATATGAATCATATATATTAGATGGCCTTAAACTTGTATACTTCAAAAAAAAAAATGGACAGACATACAAGGCCCCACATTATTTTCATTTTTATAATCTAGACCTTTTGAGTTTGAGCAACTGACATTCATAAAGATATATACCACAAACAAATTCTCTTATCTTCCACACAGAAGAGTAACACTGGTATTGTTTCAATATTTCTTTTAATGGAAATATAATTAATAAATTCTAATTTAGTAGAATGTAAAAATAGACTCTTGAAAATTTCCCCAGAAACTTTGAAGCAAGAAAACTGAATACATTTTATAAACTTTTCAAAAAACATATTGAACTGTAAAGTTGCATTTTTGCACTTTTTGCCAAATAATGTACCTTGGCCAAAAATTAAGTTGATTAACTATACAGATATTAATTTCAAAGTGAGAAAGGCACCTAATTTAGCAAAGATATCTGAATTTTGGGGGAAAAAAGTTTGTGTTATTTATCCATAATAACCTATAATTGTTTCTTTGGGTATGTCTTCAGAATAAAGTCTTCATGTTGAAATAAATTTTTTGCCCAAAACAAAAGAGTTTATTGTTTGGATGTAAAACATAAAGATCAATCTTGACTGAGAATGAAATCTACAATTGTCAACCTACAAAGAGAAAATATTCCAATTAACTTAACAATACCAAAGTAAGTGTGCTTCATTAAAATCCATATCAAGTGTCTTGATCCTTTGACCATTTAAGTAAATAAGATTTTATGCATAAAAAAATGTTATTGCATCAAAATGTCATCCAAACAAACTTGATCTTTGACAAAGTTATTCTAAAATATATAAAATGAGTTTTGCCAAAGCAATCTCTTTCCATATTATTCATGTGAATTCTATGGGTTATATGTCCTTATTGCATTGCACCAAGCACACATCCACAAGAAATGAGATCAGTGGCACAGCTAAGCATCCAGGCTTCCACATCAATCCTAAAAAAAACCCAATCATCTATCATCTTTAGTCTAACTAACATTTTGAATTCAAATGAAGGATTTATATATTTGTATCAGCTTGTATGTCACCTTCGTATATAGTAACTATTGATACTTTTCATACAATATGTACAAGTAATTAATGAAAAAATACAAGTCATAAATCATGCATGGATCCAGGGGGAGTTTAGAACACCCCCTCCTCCCCTGGAGTGTTCAAATTTATCAACTTTGTATAGTTAGATAGTCATTTTTTTTAGAGGCTTTTCTAGTAGGTGTGCCTCCCCTGGAAAAAATTTCTGGGTCCATGCATAATGCATGTAAATGAAGCAAAAAAAATATTCATAGAATAAATGCCATTGTTATCTCCATCTTGCTACTTTATAGCTGATTTTATTTTATACTCTTGAAGCCTTCACATTCTCTTAGCAAATATCCTGTCTTTTATTCCAAAAAATATTGCTTTCAGATGTATAAGTTTGATTGCTATTAATATATATACTTATTACATAACAAAGGTCAAAGTAAAAAAAAAAAGGTTCATTGGTCACAATGCCCACCTGCATGTTTGTGGCCCTTAATGTTCATCAGCAGATTCTTTTTAAGATATAATCTCATGTAAAATCTAAATTGATCACTATCTGCAGTCCAAGCCTATTCCCGGAGGTTAAGATTTGAACAAACTTGAATCTACACTATCAGTGGATGCTTCCAAATACATATGTCTGATCATGGCTTTACAGTTCCTGAGAAGAAGATTTATAAAGATTATATATATATATATATATATATATATATATATATATATATATATATATATATATATATATATATATATATATATATATATATATATATATATATATATATATATAACTTTCATTGGCCATTATAGTGGTCACATCCTAACTTGGGAGTCATAATTTGAACAAACTTGAATCTACATTATGTTTGGAAGCTTTCATATAATTTTCATTTTTTTTTCTGGTCCAGTAGTTCTTGAAAAGATTTTTAAATGACCTCACCCAATTTTTACTTTTTCTTAGTTATCTCCCCTTGGAAGAATTTGTGTAACCCTTTATTTGATCAAACTTTAATTTACTTCACACAGTCACAATCTGTACCAAATTTAATTTAAATTGGTCAAGTGATTGTTGGGAAGGGGAGGAATTTGGGAAAAAAGTTATAGATGACAACGACAGACCATGGAAAAATTTTGATCAGAAAAGTTCACTTGAGCCTTTGGCTCAGGTGAGTTAATAATGGCTGAGTTGTGAATCGCTGTGTTTTGCTTGCATGTCTCTGGTCTTAGTCTTTAGTTGTTTTGTAAAAAAGGCCCCTTATACCTAAATCTAAACAAAAGATGTTTGTGAAACACTTATGCCCCCCCCCCCAGGATATACATAATGCTACAGGGTGCACAAGCCTTTATTATGGGCAGTATACATTATGGGCAGTGTACATGGAAATGAAATTGACCTTTTGAACTTAAAATCAATAGGGGTCATCTACCAGTACTATCTGAGATGCATCAAAGAGAAATAGTCTTCTACTTCACATCTTTGGCAAAAACATGTTTCTCATGATATATCAGTAATTTATTTGTTCAACCTTTGCAGAGATAATGAACAGAAAGCTAAGTCCAAGGGGCATAACTCTGTCAACAATTGCTCGATCGTACCCAAAACAGAACCTGACCTAGATATTCATATGATAAATCTGTATACCAAATTTCATTTCAGTAGGTGCAACCTTGCGAAGAAAATGAACGGAAACTGTTGGTGGACCGACAGACAGACAGATTGACCGACCGACCGACCAAAAGACAGTAGCAAAGCAATATGCTCCCCCTTCTTCAAAGGGGGGCATAATAAATGTACAAACCTTTGAACTTGAAATTGGTAAACTATACCTGTTTAGCTATTTTATGGGTGTCCTATCAAGACTGCCCTCTTCTGGAATCAGTTGTTGGTACAAATTAGGTTTTAACCAATATTTGGAGTTTACCTTGACCTAAATGGTGCTTTTCGATCTTGGAATAAGAAGAAACAATACATGATTAGCAATACAAATAGAAAATTGTATGATTATCATCTTGTTACTTTATATATGTAAATTAAATTTTTTTTTGAAATTCAATGCAAGTTGTTAACTTCATTACAAACATTATTTGTTATATCTGCTAAGTTCAGAATGTGATTTAAAGACAAGGGCAATGAAAATCAATTCACTATAAGCATCAATTCATTGTAAGCATGTTCACATTAACCGTGTTTTACTGTACTGACCTTTGGACTTGAAACTGGTGCATTAATTCATCATCTTTTATCTCGCAAATCCAATACACAGAGTGGTTTCTTTCAAGCTGACATCAGTCTTGGCCTTTGATCTTTGACCTTGACATTGGAAAACATAAAATATATCTGTTCAAGTAATTCCATTATGTATGATTGCTGGTTTCCTTTTCGTTAAAAGAAACCGAAAGTATATATAGACAATTATAAATTTGAAATGCTTGTAAATGAAGTGTACCACTTTCAGCTGCACATTCCTAATTCTGCAAAATGGTTTTCCATACTCATAGTCCCCAGTCAGCTGAGCATGCGTCAATCTAAAATACTATTAATAGTTAATACATTTTTAATATACATGCATTAGTCATATATATATATATATATATATATATATATATATATATATATATATATATATATATATATATATATATATATATATATATATATATATATATATATATATATATATGTGTGTGTGTGTGTGTGTGTGTGTGTGTGTGTGTGTGTGTGTGTGTGTGTCTACAAATAGTATAAAAGAATACATGTACATGTATATTTAAATTTTCAAGAAACTATATTTTTTTTTTCAATACAAGAAGTTGCATAAACATTGTTTGCTACTAATTACCTTTTTTTAAATTAATATGAATACATGTATTAAAAGCATCTTTTCATAAAAAGACATAATTAAAATTCAAGTTTAATGTATTTGCCCAAAATTACAAGAAGTAAAAGAAAACCTACCTATACATATCTATCACCAGTCTTGGCCGGTATGGATCTGCAGTTTAATATGTTGATGGTTCAGTACACACAAATTACTGGTACGTGGTACTAAAAAGAAAAAAAAAATGTACATAAATGATACGTTTAATTTAAATTGCAAAAATATAATGCAGTAGGTGTTGTAATTTATCTGAATAGAGCAGGATGAAGCCCCCCTTCCAATTTAGCCCCAGAGTTCTATAATTGAATGAAAGTATTAAGCAAATTTCTCTTGAATGTATTGTAAAACAACTTGATTCTAAATGCAAATGAAATAACATATGTCTTCATGTTCTTAACTGCATAGAAAATTAAAGAGCCATTTATCTTAATTGTATAACAAATGTGTCGATAGACAAAATTCGAATTTCCTCGATGAAAATTGCAGAATGTCTTCGATTGTTGGAATGCTGTTCATATGATTTATTCGATCAAAGAACCATTACGTAAAATACATGTTTAGAACAGCAAACTAAGCTATTCATAAAGATTTATGAGGGAAAAATCACCTGAACTTACCTTACTTGTTAGCTGAGACGAACGGGGAGGCTGGAAACCCAATACACATTTTAGCGGTTTTTCGGTGTTAGGGAAGCGCTTACATATCATCATACTAAAGCGAATTATGACTGCGTTTGGAAGTCACATATCCTGGCGCAATGCAATCTTGACTGCGTTTGAAGAAATACATCCTGACTTGGCCAGGATTGACGCTTGAATAAATCATGACTGCGTTTGGAAGTCATACATCTTGGCGCAATGTTATCCTGACTAGGCCAGGATTGACGCTTGAAGAATCTTGCCTGCGTTTGAAGAAATACATCCTGACTTGGCCAGGATTGACGCTTGAAGAAATCTTGGCTGCGTTTGGAAGTAATATATCCTGGCGCAATGCAATCCTGGCCGACCAAGATAGGATGGTCATATGTTGTCAATCCTGACTTGGTCAACATTGAATCATGACCCGACCAAGATAGGATGACCATGTTATCAATCCTGACTTGGTCAAGATTAAATCACGACCTGGCCAAGATAGGATGGTCATGTTTTCTTGACTTGGCCAGGATAGGATGGTCATGTTATCAATCCTGACTTGGTCAAGATAGCATGGCCATGTTATAAATCTTGACTTGGCCAAGATAGGATGGCCATGTTATATGATGACCGCGGGCAAGATAGGATGGCCATGTTATCAATTCTGACTTGGCCAAGATAACATGACCATGTTATCAGTCCTGACTTGGCCAAGATAGCATGGCCATGTTATATGATGACCGCGGCCAAGATAGAATGGCCATGTTATCAATCCTGACTTGGCCAAGATAGCATGGCCATGTTATATAAATCTTGACTTGGCCAAGATAGGATGGCCATGTTATATGATGACCGGCCAAGATAGGATGGCCATGTTATCAATCCTGACTTGGCCAAGATAGCATGGCCATGTTATAAATCTTGACTTGGCCAAGATAGGTTGGTCATGTTATCAATCCTGACTTGGTCAAGATGATGAAAATCATGGCTTGGTATTGTTTGAAATCTTGACATGGTCATGATTACCATCCTGACTGGCCAGGATTGATTTACGATGAAATATATAGAACATGACATGGGGGTCCCCTATGGCTTTCCATAAGTTGTGATATTTACGGCTGAAGACAGGTTTATACCCAAAATGCAAAGGCGTATGACGATGGACGGGGAATGGCGTAAAATAGGGTTTCATATTGCAAGAAATCGGGATTTTGGCAGTAAAGGGGGTAGCATTATAACATTGTAAGATTATCGTCTTAATCAGTCTTTTATTTTTTTTTCATAATCCGACATTTTAGTGCTCAGCATTAGTCCAGACTCTCATAATTTTTCGTCTAAAGATTCAAAAGAAAAAAAATAAGTGTAGTCTTTTATCATCAAATCAAACACACAACATCCGACGCAAGAAAAAGTAACTTAGTACAAGTATATTTAGATTGTAAAGCATGTGTTAATTTACATACCATTATTGCTAAAAAAAAATCTAAACCATTGTGTCAGTAATTTTTGATTTTTTTTTTTTTTTTTTTTTTTCAAATTGAAACAGACTTCAAAAGAAAAAAATTGAACTTTATATTCTAAAGGAAACTCTAGACTGCAAAGAGGAAAGGCTGGCAAACCGTAGATGACAGGTGCATAATAAAAATTCGCTGAAAAAAAAAAAGAAAAAAAAAGTTAAAAGAAATAATATTAAAAAGGCAGGATGACTTGTTAATGATCTCTGCTGTGGACAAATACAGTTAAGTTAAGTACTAACAAATAAAAATATATGTCACAATGAATATGTATTTAAGGAAAATTGTTTTCCTATAAGCGTTTCCGATTGTAACATAGATACATGTAACATGCAGAATGTATAAATAAACTTTTATTGGCACAATAAATTGTTTTATATACAAAATTTTGTATTTATATTCATTATCCCTTAAATGCTTCCTTGTTCCTTAGTTATCCCGTTTGGGATCCCCAGCTTATTTGATTGACCAATCAGAAACAATTTGTATTGTTTTCATTGTTTTGTAATCGCCATCACGATTGAGAGCTTCAATTTTTGCAACAACGTCCTCTACTTCTCCAACACCCAATTTATTTACATCTCATACTTGTTTGAATTTTGTACAACACATTGCTACTGTATTTAATGCTCTTTTGTGCACCACCTTTTTTGCTCTTTTTTTTTTTTTTTTTTTTTTTTTTTTTTTTACAATTATGATTTGTAAGATTTATTGTTAGTTATTGTAGTTAGCTTTCTTGAAGCTGTATTGGCTGGGATTTCTATAATATGACTAGTCGTCATGTTCTCTGATTGAATCTAGTCAGATTTAAACATTGTTTGCTTGTCTTTCTATCCCAGCCAATTAAATATTTGTATGTGTTTTATATTTTGTCTGTTTTCGTCATTTATTTGATTAAATGACATTTTCACTCATGTAACGTTGTTTCTCATATTTTATAATATATGCAATTTAGCAAAAAACGAGCCTGTTTTCTGATTTCAGTTGTACATAGCAAAAAGTTGTGGATATAAAAACAATTATATGGTAAAAATGTCGATACCACCTTTAAAAAAAGTTCCTGTGTACCTCTTATTGGGCGGATTGTCCATATATAAAAGGCTCAAGGACTCTTTTTGTCACGGAATGCTATTTATAAAATATGTTTAGCGACAGCACAGATGTTTTACATTTGGAAACAACAGATCACTTATTGACAACGTGCACTGTTTTTAAAACATTTTACGTCATCTATTCTATTTACAGGCCTTCTTCTTATGAATATTGCAAATTTTGTGTAATGGTACCCTACTTCTATTTTAGAGCCATTTGGCATATGGGGAGTGATTGAGAGCGTAGCTTTTCGTCAATTGTTTTCAAAACCAATGGACACGATGCGATATCTATACATTTGTTTAACTGTAAGTACCCTGTCTAATCTACTAAATTTGGTGAGCATTAAAATTGAAAAAAAAAAAAAAAATACGTAGTATTAATCTATTTCATAATGGTGGCAAAGGTACATTATAAATAACTCATTTTATTATGCAGACATTCTAACATATAATCCAGGATAAATAGATAAAAAAATGAAATTCATGTCTTTTTCGAAATATTGTTCCCTTATTACTAGATGTTGCATCAAAAACTTCCTTTCACATTTATTTCAGAATGTTCTTCAAGAAAAAAAAAATACAAAAATGTTAAGATAAATTCCTTTACTAGCATGACATAGTCATTACAAAAACATACTTAAAATTAACCACCATGTGACAGAATGTAAAACAATTATTTGTACTATAATTATATACTACTTTTATAGGACTTCGCGTTTGCACACTGTTTGTACTCTTTCAATGTCCTATTACACTATGGAATTCGCCTTTCCCTTAACAAAAACTTGCGCTATCGCTTTAAAAACAAATCACCAATTCTAAACTTGAGTGTATAGTCCGTATGGGTTTATAACAGGAATTAAAAAATACAAATCCTACCTACCAAACATAGAAGATGTCAATATCCTATCCTTAAACAAGAAATAAAAATGCATTCCAATTTTAAAGTGACCATGACTAATTCTTGATGTGTATATATCAAAGGAAAGAAAACTATATCTCCTACAGATACATGTAACACCTGTTGTTAACATTTTCGTTTTCATAACGTATTTGATCTACTCCTCCTAAGGTCTTTATTTTACTTCAACTAACACAAGGAAGAAGAGATATGGAAAAAAATGCAGAATCGCCAAATAAATATTAAAACAAATTCTCTCTCTCTCTCTCTCTCATTGAATTTTTATTAAACAGTTCAGATTAAATTTTAAAAGTTTATTTAAATGAGATTGTTCTTCTCTTGATAGGCTCCTTTAGTGGGAAAAAATAATATCACTAAGGAATATCCTTGATACACCCTTTCTCTACTCAGGAATAAGCGTTAAGATTTTTATAGTTCAGTCTTTTTTTTATTTTCAGTTTAAGAAGCCTCACCTGTTTATTCGTATGTTTGTAGAAAGAAGTAACCCATTGTTAGAGTATCTTCCAGTGCCACTCACAAGGCGCTCCTTTTCTCAAATAAATAAAAGAAAGTAAGAAAATAAGTGTTCTCACTCTTTCATTTTAATGAATTACTTCAAAAATTAAATTCAAAAAGCAAAAAGTAAATGTTATAATGTATTTATTTTGTAATGTAATATTGTAATAATGTAATAATGATTAAAACAACTAATGATTTCAATAAAACTCTTGCCATGGTTTCAGCGATCATATCAAGGACAAACTATACGAGGGTTATCCTGCGAAATTTTAGACAAGTTGTCTAGCATGAAAATTAATCAACATCGCGCTCCATTTTTTTCCTCTTCATTATCACAATAATTACTCAACATACCTACCATTTTTTCTATATTGATATATTGCAAATAGGTAAAATATGACATTTTATTTTATATATGGTATAACCTTATGGCCCACGAATGATAACGTAAACATGTACTTGCAGCGTTACTTGTTTTGATGATCAATCTAAAA